TCATATTTATACTATAGCTTTAGCTTCTTGAGGGCAGGGACTGACTTTTACCTCTTTTTGTATCCCCAGTGCCTAGCACATAGTAAGTGCTAGATATTTATTGATTTATTGTTTATTGATTGATTGATTATAGCGATCTTCACAACTCTTCAAATCATCAGAGAAAGTGCTGAGGGGCCAAGTGGAAGTAGAAATATTGTAGCTTTCTATTTATTGACGCCCAGAGAGGGAAAGGAGCTCATCTGTGTTCAAAGGTCAAGTAAGGGTGGAGAATAGTGAACAGAAGTAACATAGTAATATAATAGGATGTTTCCAACAGTCCTTTCCCATGTACTCAGTCAATAAACATTTATTAAACATCCACTATGTGCCTGGCACTGTGCTGTAAATACAAGGATAAAAATGAAACAGTCCCTACCCTCAAGGATCTTGTGGCGGGGTAGAGAGTGGGGGATAAAGAAATGTACAGTTATGAGTACACATAAACTATATATAAAATAAATTCAAAATAATTTGGTAGAGGGAATACATTAGCAGCTGGGGGCATCATGAATGGTCTCATCTAGGAGGTGGCATTTGAGCTGAGTTCTGAAGGAAATTAGGGATTCAAAGACATAGGAGAAATGAGGCAATGCATTCCGGGCCTGAGGACAGCTTGTTCAGAGGCACTGGAGATTGACTGTCGTAAGCAACCAAGCAAGCATTGATGGAGAGCCTGTGCTAAGATGCTGGGGTTAAGAAGACAAAAACAAAATCGTCCCTGCCTTCAGGGTGCTTACATTCTAACAAGGCTGACAGCATGCACGTATATGGGTAACCACGGAGGGGAAGACACTAGCATTTGGGGGTGACTCGGAAACACCTTGTGAGTCTTAAAGGATGCAAGTGATTTCAAGAAGCAGAGGTGAGGAGAGAGAATGTATTCAAGGAGTGGAGGACAGCCAGTGGAAAGGTATGGAGACAAGATGGAGCGTCTTGTATGAAGAACAACAAGCAGGCCAGTATGGCTAGGCTATAAAATTCATGAAAAAGAGGGATGTGTAAGACTGGAAAGATGGGGTGGGCCCAGGCTATGAGAGCTTCAAGTATCAGAGGAGTTTATATTTGATCCTAGAGATAATAATGAGCCATTGCCGTTAATTGAGCAGGAGAGTGACATGATTAGACCTATACTTCAGGGGAAAAAAATCACTTTAGCAGCTGCCTGGAGTATGGATTGGATTATGGAGAGACTTAAGGCAGGGAAAATAATTAGTAGCTTATTATAATAATCCAGATGAGAAGTAACAAGGGACTGAAATGGTACTGGCCCTTTGAATAGAGAGAGGGGAATGGTTATAAGAGGGTGAAGGTAGAAATTACAAGATTTGGCAACTGATTGGATATGTTTGATGAGTGAGAGGGGAGAGTGGAGGATGACACCAGAGTTTTGGACCTGGGTGACTAGGAGGATGGTGGTGCCCTTCACAGTAATTGGGAAATTCAAAAGAGAGGTAGTTTGAGGGGAGGAAGGTAATGAGTTCTGTTTTGGACATACTGAGTTTGAGATGCCTGTGCGATATCCAGTTTGAAATGTTCAACAGACTGTTGGTGATTTGGGACTGGGGTTTGGGAGAGAGGCTAGCACTAGATATCTAAACCTGGAAGTTATTTGCATAGAGATGATATTTGAATCCATAGAAGCTGATAAGGTTACTAGGTAAGAGAGTGTAAAAAGTAAAGAGACAAAAGCCCAGTGAAGAGTCCTGGGGAATACCAAGAGTTAGTGAGTATGAGGATGATGATGCTTTAGCAAAGGAAACTGAAAAGCAGAAATCATACAAAAAGAAGCAGAACCCACAGAGAACTGTGACGCAAAAACCCAGAAAGTAGAGACTATGCAGAAGGAGAAGGTGGTCAATATTGTCAAATGATATAGAGAGGTCAAGAAGTTTGAGGCTTGAGAAAAGGTGCTTAGATTTGACAATTAAGAGGTCATGGGTCACTCTGAAGAGAGCAGTTTTGGTTAGGGGATGAGACTGGATTGTAGAGAGTTTAGAAAAGAGAGGAGAGGAAATAAAGACAACGTGTGTATACAACTTTTTCAAGGAGTTCAGCTAAGCAATGGAGAACAGAGGTATAGGATGGTGACCAGCCAGGATGGTTTGCTTTGGTAAAGTGTTGGGTGTTGGGGGGGTTTTAAGGACTTGGGCACATTTATAGACAGCAGAAAAAGAGCAATAAATAGGGAGGGATTGAAGATGAGTGAGAGAAGGTGACAATGAAGACCATCTGCTAGAGAAGACAGGAGGGAAAGGAATCAAGAGTACATGTAGGGAGATGGGTCTTAGTGAAGAGAAGGGCCACTTCATCAGAGACTGGAACAAAAAAGGACATCTTTGGGGATGATGTCAAGGGGCATTGAGACATAGAGAAGGGAAGAAGATGAAGCTCCCAGCAAACGCCCTCAATTTTCCTACAAAAGTACAAATAAGTCCGGGTCCTTAGCTGAAGTGGAAGGGGAGGGAGGAGGAGCACCTTGAGGGGTATGATGGAAGAAGAGAAGGGCCCAATTGGCAGTGTACCCATTCAGTGTGGCTACGTGACTTTCTCTAGCTCCACTCAACAGTAAATAAGTAGGAGCAAAGGAGGTAGATGGCAGGAATAATCCAGGGTTGGGTTTTCTCAAGATGTGAGTGTGGACAAGACAAGGGAGCAAGAGATTTGAGAGTATAGGAAAGTGCAAAGTTGGACTAGTTCTAAAGAGACAAGATTGGGGAAAGGAGGAGAGTATAACCAGAGCAGGGGTGATGGCCTGGGAGAGTACTAGTGGTTAGATAATTGGAGATCATGGTGAGTATGAATAGGTGCAGGAGGACGATGGAATGATAGATTATAATTAGATACAATTTTATTTTTCTCCCATCCTGTGAATCTTGAGATGGAAGAGACAGAGGCTCTGAGTTCACCTTCAGTGATTCTTAAAGGGCAGATCACCATGGTCCCAAGGGTGATGGTCAGTCTTCCACTCACCCTCGCTTCTCACGACCCATGCACTACCCACCATAGCCCTAAATTCCTGTTCTGCTTCTGCCTCTAGCCGTGAAGCCCAGGAGTACATCCCACCCCAGTTCTATCGCACATTGAAGGGGCAGGCCTGGCTGAACCTGGTGGTCCAGCACATGCAACAGATCCAGGCCCTGAGCCCCCATCAGGCCAGGGCCCAGTTCCTTGGTAAGAAAAAGGGGGAGAGTGAGTCCAGGTTTGAATTGTGATACTCCTAAGTGAGCCAAGGATGCAGTCATAGGTTGAGACCTAATCCCAGTCCTAGACTGAGCCCCAGCTCCAATCATAGACTGGGGACCCTAATCTTAGAACCAACACTAATGCCAACCACACACTGAGCCCTTGAGTTACCTACCCATGTCCCAAATGATGAGAGATTGTAGATTAGGTAATATCAGTCAACAAGCATTTCTTGAGTGCCTACTATGTACCAGGCACTAGGTAACACAGTATAGCCTATCTTCACCAATGGAAACACAGCCTAAAGTATACAGGGGTATATCCCAAAGGCTATTAGAGCTTAAAACTACACTAAGACTTATTGGGATCTAGACCTTCCTTTTAATGAACAGGTTCAGGCATTAATATAGTAAAGGATCAGAAAAGACCCATAGTCACAGTCACACATACATGAATCTTACCTCTATGCTGAGATCTACCTTCTGTTTGCAGCTAGTATGTCCTAAGTGGACCCCCTCATATATACTCGTCTTGTCCCTCCTCCCTGGATGCTGGTGATCATGGACATGGCTCTCTCATCTCTCTCTCCATATCTCCACAGGGCTCCTCAGTGCCTATCCCATGTTTGGCTCCTCCTTCTTCTTCATCCAGAGTTGCAGCAACAACACCGTGCTCACGCCCTGCATCCTGGCTGTCAACCAGAATGGCCTCAACTTCCTCAACAAGGAGACCCATGTGAGCCTCAAGCCACAGAGGGGTGGGGGAGCGAGGTGGCTCCCAAATGGTTTACTGGTTCCTGACCCTTAAGCAGTTGAGGTAGAGGGATTAGGATTAGGTTAAACTGCTTCTGTCAGAAATTATGAAATACTATTCCTAAATTATTAGTCATTTATTAGTAAATTAATTTACTAATTAATTACTAATTGCTAAGTAATTTACTAAATAAATTTGTAAGTTATTAAATAATACTCTCATATCTGTAGAGTACTTTGTTATTTCCAAAGCATTTCCCCATCCATCATTTCATGGAACACAATGTGGCAGACATACCTTATGATTCTACTTTAGGCAGAGAAGACCAACGCTCAGTCCTAAGAAGAACAATCTTTTTATTCCTTCCTAATTAATTGCCTATTTAGAACAGTGGCTGTTCTAAATCTTCTCTTCTCCCCTCAAATCTCTCATGGTACTTCCCCCACCTTATACTCTCAGCTAAGGACCTGGACTTAATTGTATCTTAGCAAGAAAACTGAGGCCATTTGCTGCGGGCTTCCTCTTCTTCCCTACATCTCAAAAGCCCTTTACATCATTCCCAACTATATCCTCATTTACTCCAGCCTCTGACGAAGAAGTGGCCCTTGTGATGATTCATGCTGCTTTCCTTTTATAATGTTTATAGGTTCTCTGAAGAGGCCCCTTACATGAATCTATCTGCATTTTACAGGGAAAGATCCTGGACACAGTGGCATCCAGCCAAAAAGCATTCCACCTTTCAAAGTTGCCAAGGTTACCGGGTTGTCAAGGGCTTGTTCTTCCTGCCACATCGCCTTAGGCCAACCTAGGAGATGGTGACAATCCCTATTCCTAACCCTCTCCCCTTCTACACCCTAGGAGCTGACAGTGAAATTTCCTCTGAAGGAAATTCAATCCACACGCACCCAGAGACCCACTGCTGGCTCCAGCTATCCCTACGTGGAGATCACACTGGGGAACTTGACTGTACAACGAATCATGCAGCTGCAGCTCGAGCAGGTACGAGGCTCAGAGAGGCTGCCAGAGGAGGGGGCAGGGAACTGCATCGTGGCAGGAGTCCTCTGCTTTGTGCGGTACAGTACTGAGAGGCAGACAAGGAAAGTATTATGGTTCTCATTTGATAATCAGGTTGGGGACATCAGGACATTGAGTATCTGAGGTTTAGTGACTTGTCTTCTGGCAAGGTCACAAAGATAACAGTTGCAGAATCTCAGAGCTGGGAGGGACTTTCCACCTGGTCCAACCAATATTTGAACAAGAATAGCACTTATAGGGGCAGCTAGGTGGCACAATGGATAGAGCACCAGCCCTGGAGTCAGGAGGACCTGAGTTCAAATCCGGCCCCAGACACTTAACAGTTACTAGCTGTGTGACCCTGGGCAAGTCACTCAACCCCAACTGGCTCATCAAAACAAACAAACAAAAAGAACAGCTCTTGCAACGATGCTGACAAATGTTCACCCAGCCTCTGTTTGAGGGCCTCCTTTGAGTGGGAAACCTGCCACCTAAGGAGCCAGGCCATTTCACTTTGGGGCCACTTTAATAGTGAAGAATTTTTTTTTTCCACAGGGAGTTGGAATGGGCTTCTAAATTTGTTCTCTGGGGCCAAACAGAATAATATGACTAGTCACTTCATTGCACGGCAAACTTGCAGTCAGCTATTGTATAGCCCTAAAGCATGGCATGCCCAATAGGGTAAAATTTTTAGTCTGAGATCTGTTTCAACTTTTTAAACATTATTTTGAAAAAATATATTTTGATGACTATATTTCAATAGAATTTATTTCCTTTGTATTCCTTTGTATTTTATTCTATGCTTTTAAAAACATGATTCTGAAAAGGGCTCCCTAGGTTTTACCAGATTGCCAGAGGGGTCTATGACACAAAAACAGCTTAAATACCCTTGTGAAGTTCTTTCAACCAGTCTTCCCACGATACGGTCTGGAGGGCCTTCCCATCCTGATTGCCTTCCCCCATTCACATTCTGGCTTATCAGTGTCCTTAATAAAATGTGGTACCCTGTAGAGAATGTCCCACCTGTAGTCTGACCAGTAACAGAGCTGGCATCCCAAGCCAGATCCTCTGATTCCAAAACCAGCCTCCTTTCCACTACATTGTAGTACCTGTCTCTCAATCATTCTGCCTTTTGGAAAGGGCCCAGAGAGTTCCCAGGAAGGAAATTCCATAGCAAGAAAGGAAGTTCTACTAATGATAAGAAAGTCCTCCTCTTCTATCGAAGTGTGTCATTGTCACTGTCATGTTAAGAGTATGCTAAATCCCCGTGTAACAACCTTTCAAATATCAGCTAAGGTAGCTGTCATATACTGCACCTCATACCTATGCTCTACAGTTTTTTGGTGCTCTTTCCAAAATGTAGCACGTGAAACTCAACTCACTACTCCAGGTACCACGTAACCAGGGCAAAATACGTTGGACTCTCACTTCCCTAGTCCTTCCTAGACACTACATTTCTCTTAATACAACCTAAGACTTCATTAACTTTTGTTTAGTTGGAGGGGAGGGGAAAGGGATGGGCACGTCACACTACTATTGAGTTCAGACAGCTAAAACCTCAAAACCTTTCTTCAGAAGAACTGGTGTCTAGCTACATTTGTCCTATCTTATAAAATTGACCTTTTTTAAACACGTGTAAAAAGGAAGCATATTCCCCTCCACTCAATCATTCTCTAGCTGTTGCTGTTATCTCTTTGAATCACTGTTGTCTTTCTTGCTTCATTTTATTTTTGTTTTTGTTGATTCTCATCTCTATTTTTGACATTCTACTTGCCAGAAAAGGAGAAAGTTTATCACCCTTATCCATCTCCCTCCCTCCTCTTGCTTATCAACGAATATACTCCTTTTAAACCAAAGCACTAATTACCCCATCTCCCCTTAGTGCTTCTGTGCCTCAAGGCGCAGGGAAGCTGGGAGGCAGAGAAGCAGCAAGTTTATAGAGAGGAGATAGCTAAACCCAGGCTGCTGATGCCATAAATCCCCACTATGGAGGCAGGGAACATTTGACCTGTGCAATGAGGAATTCTAGTCTAGACACTGATTGAGTTGGACATGGGGTTCATTGTTGCAGAGGAAGGGTACGTATCTCACTTATAGAAGGACTTAAGCAGACTCCAGAGCAGAATGTAAATAGATTTGGGATTATGTACAATTTTTCATTACCTGTATCCCTTTCTTTCCCCACACTAGCACTAAGAATGTGAGGGCAAGGGACAGCTAGGTGGCACAGCGGATAGAGCACTGAGCTTGGAATCAGGAAGACTCATCTGTTCAAATCCAGCTTCAGACATTTACCAGCTGTGCGACCCTGGGCAAGTCACTTAACCCTGTGTGCCTCAGTTCCTCATCTGTAAAATGAGACGGAGAAGAAAATGGCAAACCACTCCAGTATCATTGCCAAGAAAACCCCAAATGGGGTCATGAAGAGTCAGATATGACTGAACAACAGCAACAATGCCAGTTGCATAACAAATTGGGAGCAGGCCTCCTCAGCTTGGCACTGAACCCCAGATATGGGGGAAGATAGATTTTTATGTATTAAGAGAAAACAATTAACAGGATATAAAACAGGATACAAGATTAGGTAATCTGATTTCTGATTGGAGGGGAGATTAGGGCTTTTCTGAGTTGGGAAGGGGAAAATGAGCAGGTGCAATTCCCTAAAATCAGAAAAAGAGGTGTCCCACTCCCCTCCCCAAGTGTCTGTATTCAATCAAAGGAACAAGGAAACAATAACTGATTGATCAGTATGGGGCCAGTTTTCATATAAGATACATAGGTTGCTTGAAATGTATAATTACGCGAAAACTTTTTGCATCAACCTTTGGATCTAACTGGGTTTCCGGGCAGCACAACCTAGGTCCCTAGTTAAGGATCTCTAAGCAACAGGTAGAGGCGGTCCAGCATGCCAGCCACACAGGGCAAGGTTCAAACAATGCAATCAGGTTTTCTCATAATTCAATAAATTTTCTCACAAGACAGAAATTAGACTACACCCATAACTGAATAGAAAGGGAACTGAGCTAGCTCACAATTCCCTCAGCCATTATGCCTCGATCTGCCCTCTGAGGCCAAACTTTTCCATATGACAGTCCTCCAAATACTTGAAGATTGTCATCATGTCCCATTATGTTGTCATGACGCAATTAAAAGGTAAAGTGGACAGAATGCCAGTACTGGATTATCGAAGACCTGAGTTCAAATATGACAGATATCCAGATCATTACCAGTTGTGTGACCCTAGGCAGTCACTTAACCTCTGACTTGCCTCAGTTTTCCTATCTGTAGAATGGGGGTAATAATTGTACTTACCTCCCAAGGTTATTGTATAGATTGAGTTAGGTAATATTTGTAAAGGGCTTTGAACACCCTAGGGCAGCTAAGCTAAGACTCATCTTCCTGAGTTCAAATCCGGCCTCAGACACTTACTACCTGTGTGACCTGAGCACATCACTTAACCCTGTTTGCCTCAGTTTCCTCATCTATAAAATGAGTCAGAGAAGGAAATGGCAAACTATTCTAGTGTCTTTGCCAAGAAAACCCCAAATGGGGTCACAAAGAGTTGGGAACAACTAAAATAACAACTGAACAACAACAATTGCACATCCTAAAGTACTATATAAATGCTCAATATTATAATCATGATTATTATTTCATTACCCTCCCCCCACACTCTCAAGCCTTGAATACCCCATTACTGGAAGTCTTCAAATGGAGGTTTGGGTGACCATTTGTAGGGAATGTTGTAAAGAGGATTTCTGTTCACATATGGTTTAGACGACATGATATCAAGATCCTTTTTAATTTGGGGATTCTGGGATTTTAACATGTCTGGTACACCTACAAACAGACTTTTCTGGATTGTTCTCTGTTATTCACAATCTTTTTCTTCATGGATTTCTCTAATTTCCTTCTAATCTGAGGATTCTGTGGAGCAATGATTTTAATGTCTTGATTTCTTGTGGATTCAGCCAATGGAATTACCTGGGGTTCTCTTGGGCAAGTGTCCAGGTCCCAGGACTAGAAAACCATACCAAACAGAAGGGATTTAGAACTGGAGCTGTTTGCTCTGATGTCTGCCTTTCTTTCTAGGTGCTGAATTTCTCAGTCTTGCCCAAAGGGGCAAGCTGCCTCAGACCAGACCCTACTCCTGTTGAAATCCCAACATGAATTTTCATAGAAATCATGGAATGCTAGGATTTAGAACTGGAGGAGGTCATCTGGCCCAACTCCCTTATTTTAGAGATGAGAAAGTTGAGGGCCAGAGAGGGCAAGTCCCTGACCAAAGGTCACATTGTGAACCAGTGGCAAAGCAGGAACTTGGACCCAATGCCCAGTAAAGTCTAGATCGCCTTCTGTCATATTACACAGCTACTCTTCTCTGAATCCATGCATAGTGAAAGGAAGAGGGGAAGGACCTGTGATTTCATTCCTTAGGTGAGGAAATTCCCTTCACCAATTTGCGTCAGCATCTTAAAGAGCTGCCTAAGAACACCAAGAGATTAACTAACTTGGCAAGTCACATGAAGCCAGTATGTGTCAGAGCCAGGTCTTCCTGGCTTTGGGTTCAGTGCCAATAATAACTACAATATGTAGTTATTATATTGTGCATTATTATGCACATGTGCATAGCATACATCTATACATATCTATACACATGCATGAATATATACATATACATGTGTGTACATATACATGTGCACATATACATATACAGAGAGAGAGAGAGAGAGAGTGTTCTATCGCCGCCTTGTCCTCTATGAAGATCTCTAAGGCAGCTGTGAGAGGATTCAGGGAGAGAGAGCTTACAAGTGAAGATGGGCAGCACTTGAAACGTTTTCCCTTCTGTCTCCACAGGGCCTGGAGCTGTGCCGGGTTGTGGCTGCACATGTGGAGAGCCTACTATGTGCCCGAGAGAAACGGTTCACACTGCCTCCTAGTGAGATCACCCTGCTCTGATTTGTTTCGACATCTACTTCTTTCCTTGGCCGCTGAAGCTGCCCACCCAGCTCTACCCAGAACCTATGGAAGACCCTGGACAGGCCAAGGAGTGACTTCACATTGACTTGGCAGATCTACAGTGGAGTGCCCCAGAGATCTGTGTCTGGCCTCGGGTTGCTTACCATTTTTAACCAGTGATGTGGACAAAGGCCTTCAAGGGATGCTCATTGGATTTCAGAATTTTCAGATTTCACCCAATTAAGTGAATGAGTTAACATAATGGATGATAATGTCAGGATCCAAAAAGATCTGGAAGACATTGGACTAAATCTAAGGCAATGAAATCCAATAGGAATAAATGAGAAGTCTAACACTTGGGATCAAAAAATCAATTTCACAAATAGAGTATAGGGGAAGCACATTAGCCAGTATTTGTTCTGAAAAAGAGTTAAGCAGACTATAAGCTCCACATGAGTTAGTAGTATGTTATAATAGCCAAAAAATGCTAATGCAATCTGGGGCAACATTAAGAGAGGTATGGCTTCCAGGAAAAAAATTAATAAAAGGAAGTGATAATCTCACTGTCCTCTGCTACGGTCAGACCACAGCTTGTTATATTGTGTTCAGTTCTGAGAATCACTGTTTAGGGAAAACTTGGATAAAGCTAGAGAGAGTCCAGAGGAGAACAACTAGGCTAGTGAAGGGCTTTGAGTCCATGTCATAAGGAACCAAGGATGTTTGCCTGGGGGAGCTAAGACTGAGGGGAGACATTGTAAGAGTATTTGGAGGGCTTATCATGTGAAAGACAGATTAGGTTTGTTCTATTTGGCCCCAAAAGGCATTACCAGCAGCAATGGCTGGAAAGTGTTAAAGGGGAACATTTAGGCTTGGTGTCAGAGAAAACCTTCTAACAAGTAGAGCATAGAATGAGTTACATTGAAAAGAGGTAGGCTTCTCCTCGTTGGAGGTCTTCAATCAGAGAATGTATAACCATTTGTTGGGTTTATTACAGTAGGGATACCTTTTCAGATATGGGTTAGATTAAATGTCCCCCTGAGGCCCCTTCTTACTCTGAACTTCTAGAAGTTCAACCCTATGCTTCTGCAACTCTTCCCAGACTATTCAGGTAGACTGGGTCTTCCAAGAGAGTCTTCAACAAACCCTGGCTGTAAATGATCAGAGTCTGTGGTCCCTCTCAAGACTCAGAGAAAACCACTTTTGTTAAGAGACTGGAATAGGAGTGTGACAGTCATGTTAGATTCTGAGTTAGACTCAAGAAACGAGCACTGTGTTGTATTAGGGTAGATATCTTATGGTTTATTTTGAAGAACCATGATACTCCTATACGGCCATCCCTTCAAGGGTCAGTGCCAGATCATGACACCCTCCCTGAAGGCTCTTCTGAGCTATGGAAGGCTTTAGAATAGAGAAAAGTTAAAGGAACAGGAAATCTGCATCTGCATGAGGAGAGGCTAGAGGAGACTACAAAAACTAATGGAACCGTATTATCATGGGAAGACATCAATCAACAAGCATTTGTAAAGCACCAAAAGGAGAAGGAAGAATTTCTTGACAGTTTCCATTTAATCCTGAAAATGGCAGACTGCCTACTAAAGATGAGATTGATATCCAGTTCTGTGCTGGCTCAAACCCACTTTTTTTAGGAAGCCTTCCCTCCAATATTTATCAATAAATGAATGTCTTTGCCCAGCCCAGGAGGAAAGCAGACCCTGTCAATATCGCTGTCTGCTCTCTAGCCACAAATCTGAGCTCTTCCCAGCCAAAGAGCAAAGCTAGTGTAGAGACAAGAGGATGACTCAGATGGTTTTAGAAGGGTCTGTGTGGCTCTCGGCCTAGGATTAAGCAGGGGGGAGAGAACAGGAGATTAACCCATGGCCTGGATGGCTTCTTTTTCATTCACCTTTAAGTAGTTAGGTGAAGAAAAGGTTAAGCAATTAACATAGGAAACTGGGGAGCACAGTGATGAGCCTGGGTAGATGGGTTCCATTCTTTGATCCTGAAGCAATTTTTCTGAACCCAGACTGGGCAGAGGCCAAGAGTTAGTGGCCTTCTGGGCAATAGCAGAAGTCTGTGCAGGAAGGTCCCTGCTACCTCCCCAGCTTTGTGCTTTTTTTTTTTTTTGCACTCATCTTGCTATCCTATCTTTCACCTCCCACACTTCAGTGATCTTTATTTCTCTTTGTAATATTTGTGTGAAATAAACAGCAAGTTAGGGCATTAAGACCCCTCAGGAACTGAGGGCAGGGCTGGACCCTGGCAAAATTGAGAAGATGGTGCTGTTTGTGTATCAGGCTGCAGACCCCACCCGATATTCTCTCAGTCCCACCCACCCTTCCCAGCATCCCCTGCTCCAGATCTTTTCCTTGCTTCTCCATCCCCAGAAACCCTCCAATCAAGACTGAAACTAGTTAGCCTGTTCCCCATCCCCGGGGGAGATTTGCATTTTAACTAGGACCTCCAATGCCTTGAATTTCAGAGAGATGAGAGTATAGACAGAGCGGATTCCTGTGCTCTGAGGAGACTCCCCCTAGGAGGGAAGGAAGGTGGTAAAAAAGGAAGAAGAAGGGAGGGGCATGGTAAGGGGGCCCTGGCAACAGGGTGCGCTGGTTTCCAGGGGAGCTCTGGGTGAGTCAGCTGCTGGCAGCCAGAAGCTTCCCAGCTACCTCTCCTCTTCCTGGTAAAGTCATCAGCCAGTGCAAGGAAGAAAACACCTAAGCATCTTATGAACAGAATTATGAAAACCTTTTCCTACACAAAGCCAGAATACAGCAGAAGCGGAATAGCAAACTACTCCTGGCTACAGCATTCATCACAGCCCTCTCTACCTTGGGCTATTCTTCAACCCCCATCCTTTTGCCCTATTTTCAAAGCCCCAGGCCCTATAGATTCCATCACCACTCTTGTTTCCTACATCCTCAGTCATAAAGGTGTAGAGACCCACAGACACTGGCTAGAAGCTTCATTTCTCAAGCCTAAGGACCTCTGCTTTCTCCTTCCTTCCCTCTGGTCTGATTCTTTACCTTGAATTCTAAGCAGTGGTCCCCAGCTTTGGCTAGCTCCATCTCTAGGTTTCATTATCTTGTCTCACCCCAATTCCCTACCCCCAGTCCAGGGTAGCTTTATCTCAAAATCACATTCCCCAGTTCCTAAAATGAAGGGTAGAGGTGACCAACATGATACAATCTTTCCCCAACCTGATATTTCTCCATCACTCCTTCCTTTTTCATTATTAAAGCATTGTTTCTAAAAGCCTTCTATTAAAATTACAGATGTCACTTAAAAAGGTCACAGATGAGTCTAGGGAAGGGGAAATAGGGCACAGAGCAGATGCCAAAACCAAATTTGGTCCACGAGCTGGTCTTTGGGAGTCATGCAAACAGTCTCAAAATGAGTGAATTATTAAGCCCTCACAATGTACCAGGCACTGTGCTAAGTGCTGGGGCTATAAGTACAAGCCAGCAGGGCAGCCCCCACCCTCAAGGAGCTTCCAATTCACATAGACAAAGACCACACATATAGGGGAGTGGTAGCCAGGGAGGAGTCATGGGAAGCAGTTGCACCCTCCCCAACTCAGCTCTATCTCTGCTGTGTGACTGGACTTTGAAGAGGAGGGTAGGGCATCTCCCTCCCACCAACCACTTCATCCAGGCCACTCTCTAACCCCTCAGCCCTTTTGTTTTCTCCAGGAGCTCCACAGCTAGAAACTCCTGCAGAATTAGAGCAAGTAAACCCAGAACAACAAATGAGCAAAGTTTACATCTCAGTCATATCTCCTTCCTTTCCCTCTATCTCCCCATCCCCCTCCCCCCACCTACCCAGCTGACTTCGAATTTCATCTGAACCTAGGCTGAGAGCAGAGAGGAAGGACCCCTGGAGGAATCCCACAGCTGCTGGGCACTTCCTACGCCTCCTCACAATGGGTCCCTTAGATTTTGGTCAATGTGGCCAGTTCACAGCTGAAATATTTATTTGGAAAAAGGGCCAGCCAAGCTAGGGTAAATGTTCTGTTTTCATCCCATGATAGCATCTGGATCTAGAGATCTGCTGAACAGGGGAATAATTTCTATATTTAGGAACCTGTTGTCCCCCAAAATGACTGTGTTGTAAAAAGATAAAAGACATTAAAAAAATTTTTAAGACTACCCCTTGTACTCACAGCTAGACCTGAGATTTTAATTCTCCCTCCCCTTGGATCAAAAACTGAATCTGGGATTTTAATCCTCCCTCCACTCAATGAGGCTGGAGCTATCATCAGACAGGGAAGAAACTGTACCCACCCACTCAGCCTATGCTAAATTCAGAGACAGCCAAGGAACCTGTCATGTTATGCCTTCATTCCCTTGGAAACCAGTACTGCCCCACCCTGAGCTTCAGGGCCCTGTGCCCAGAAACCCAAAGCAAATTCCAGGAGACTTCCAGCAAATCTGGAGCAATACACCCACGCTGCCTGCCGGATGCTGAGGGTGCATAACAGACCACTTCTGCCTTAGGAACCTCCATGCCCTGGTATCAGCATAAGTAATTTCTAAGATGACCCAACAGTATATCACTGGCATCATCCTGAAAGCTACTCATTCATTCATTCATTCATTCATTTGTTCAGTCAATAAATCTTTACTGAACTCTATACTATACATACGAGGTCCGAGGCTCCCATTATCCCTTTATAGACTGAGGGTTTCTCATCTAGTGAGCCAGGGAGAAGTTTCCCCTTGAGTCTATATTAATACAGAGGTAATATGTTCATCCCTGTGCTAGGCTCCATCAGGGAATTATAGACATTTTTTAAAATTGAGATATAATAATCAATCAATATGCAAGTATTAAGTGTTCACTTTGTGACAGACACTGTGCTAAATGCTGAGCATACAAAGGTATTTTAAATCCTAATGGAGGAGACAACATTTATGTATATGAGTGTAACCACACACAGAACCACTGCAGGGCCCAAAGAAAAGCTCTAGGCTACTTCTTCTTCTCTCTCCCACAAAAAGGCCCCTAGCTCGTAGATGCAGACCAGGTTCAGTCATAGTGGAGTTGGACTCAAAAAAGAGGGATTACATGCTTTCTCCCTACTTTCTGGCTCTTTACATCCCCACCCCAGATTCTGTCCAGAGAGAATCATTTAAAGCTTAAGTCTAGCTCATGGTCTGTGATCTTCCCCAAAGGGAGTAGAGAACAATACTCAACGTATTATGTAAATCAGATATAGGACTGTTATTTATTTCCTCCACTTAAAAACAATACTTTACACACAGAAGACTAACAAGTGAGCATTGGCAAAGATTTAAACAAACATCAGTAACTTGTAACTACTATTAGACTCCCCCAAGAGGTTGAAACATCAAAACCTGAAGCATTTTGTAAGACTGGTGAACGATCATTTCACCTTTCACCCTAGTTCTGTACTATTTCCCTCAAGGCCCATGTCTGCTGACAATCCAGGCCAGAGGTTGAGCTCCTTACCGTGTTGGTGGTTATTTTGTCTTCTAAGAAGCATTGTAGTAGCACATATGGGTGCACATTAGGTACACACACACACAGACACACACACATATACCCATGTATGTATATTATGTGTATATACATACATATACACATTAGAGGGAGCATCTCCTACAGTGCAGACCTCTGAGGCACAAGGAGCTTCTAATCTCTTGAACTCACAAGATTATCTTCAAGGATAGCCCATCTCAGGATAGCCACTGAATCATCTATGCTCAGTGGAAAAAATACAAAGCAGAAGTAGCAGCTAGGGTTTTGCGATCCAGTCTCAAGCTCAGCTAGGATACCTGTAGCTCAGAACTCCTGGGCTCAAGCCTCAGCCTCCCCTATCAGAGGGATTACAGGTTGCCTCACCATGCCCCATTAGGGTCAACTTCCCTGAGATCTACTGAATGGAGAGCTCTTATTAGCTCAGTGGTCCACCCGCTCTGATGCAGACATCTACCTCTGGTGCCTCCTCAGGGATTCTGCATCATGCCAAAGACCAAGTACTTCCACACGTAACGTTTGAGATACCTATGTGACAGTGAGTTTGGAATATCCTATCAATAGCTGATGATTCAGGACTGGGTCTCAGAAGAGAGACCGAGGCTGGATTTAAAGCTCTTTGGATGTCTATGTCAGAGTCACTTACCTAGAGGTGATAACTGACAAAATGAGATGTGATGAAACTGCCAAAAGAATATATAAGGGAAAAAAGGGCCTAAGACAGAATCTTGGAGGTGCATCAGTAAGTTAGGGATTGTGACATGGATGATGAATCAGCAAAATAAGCCTGTGGGGGGAGTAGCTGAATAGAAAGAAAGAGAATCAGAAGAGAGTAATTTTTCAAAAATCCAGAAAGGAGAGTATATTCAGGAGGAGAAGGTAATTAACAGTGTTAAATGCTGCAGAGAAGTCAAGGAGGATGAGGATTCAGAAGAGGAAGGAAGGAAAAAGGCATTTATTAAGTGCCTACTATGTTCTAGGCACTGTGCTAAGTGCTTTACAAACATTATCTTATTTGATCCTCACAACAACCCTGGGAGATAGGTGCTATTATTATCTTCATTTTACAAATGGAGAAACTTAGGCAATCAGCCGCTAAGTGATTTAAGTGTCTGAGGCAGGATCTGAACTGGGGCTTCATTAGATAAGGAAAGATTGGAGATTAGAGAAGGAAAGGAGATGATGGTAGAGGCAGTCTGCTGGAGAAAACAAGGAGAGGATCAAGGGGAGGCATAGAAGGGTTTGCCTTTGTGAGGATAAGGGTTACAAGAATAAAGAAAAGAAAGAAATGGTAGGGGGTGATATTAAGGAATTTTGACATGAAGAGAAGAGGAAAGTATTAGGGCAGCCCACTGAGCACTTAAGTGGAAGGGACCTTAGATAACACCTAGTTCACACTCCTTATTTTACAGATAAGGAAAGAGAGGTCCAGAAAAGTGAGAGACTTTCCCAAGGTCACACAGTCAGTCAGTGGCAGAGCCATGATTTGATTTCTGGTCTCTCAATTCCCGGGTCATGGCTCTTTCTACCACACCAGGCTACCTCCCTAGGCTAACTCATTTTCTGCCATCTCCAGTTTTAAGGCTAATGGCTTAGCTCCCCAAAGGCTACCCTAGGAATAGGGCAGCAGCTAAATTTAATGCAGGGCCCTGGTGCCTGCTCCATTTTTCCACCCGCACCTGCTCCTGACACTTCCTTACAAATGTGCTGTTGGTGGGGGAGGGGGAAGACTGTGGGTCTCTATCCCTGAGATGTATTGGCTCTCTCCACTGTTTTGCTAACCTTATAGCAGGTCCTGGAATAAGAACATGACCTCTGTCCAAGACTAGCTTATCTCAGGGTCTCTCTTTGCTGTCACCACCAAGGGCAAAAAGCAATACTATTTCACCATCAAAGATAATAATAATAATAATGACAAAATAATGATAGTATTCATAATGGATAATAATGATAGCTAACATTTACATAGTGCTTTAAGGTTTGCAAAACACTTCACCAATATTATCTCATTTTCCACATTCCATGAGTCCCTCTGTTTCCCCTACTTTCTGACCTTTCTAAGCAGTACCAGAACAGAACCCAGCACATATTAATTACTTAATAAAGTAATACCTCTCCAAAAGAAAGACTTCCTTGGGGTTTAGAAATTTGAGGCAATCACTCCAGGTGTTGGCATTCTGGAGGAGCCCTGTGTTGTTGCAAAAACAGACAGTCTAAAGGGATGCAGCCAATGGGAAGGAGTTCCTTTAGCTGGTGTTAAAAGGCTCTGAATAAATACAGTACAACGTAATGAAATAAGATAAAGTGGTTTCATCACCTTGGAGGTGGGTAATTTGGAGCAGGGGAAAGAGTACTAGCTCTGGGGGCCAGAGGACCCCCAATTCAAATCCTACCTTTGCCCCTTACCACCTCTATGACCTTGGGTAGTCAGTCAACAATCATTTATTAAGCTCCAGAAACTGGGAATAAAATTTTGTAGAATGAAACCATTCCTACTCTCAAGGAGCTTACATTCTAAAAGGGTAGACCACAAATACATATCTAAAAATACACAAAATAAAGTGAACAAATACAAAAGATGGCAAGATGGTTTGGGGGAGGGGCACTAGCAGTCAGGGAGATCAGGAAAGACCATACCAGAGAATTGGCAATACACAACCCCTGACTCTAAAGGCAATATAGTCTGTTTGGGGAGCTAAGATAAATATAAAACTAAAGAATAGATGAAGTGTCATAGTACGTGAACAATTAGTGTTATTGAAGGTAAAAGGAGGTAGGTTGCACTGTAATCAGACTTCTTATTGTACCATCCTCCACCTTGGCTATGACTTTACCCAGCAAACCTAATTTGGACTTAGTTTCCTAACTCCCTGATGCACTTTAATTTTTTTTCTGTTTCTCTCTTTATTCTGTTTGATCAGTTGATTTTTCTCTCTTTGATTTTTTTTATTTTTAAGATTCATATTTCAAAATTTTGAGTTCCAAATTCTCTACCTCATTCCTAACCCTCCCTCACACACTGAGAAGGCAAGCAATATATCATTTATATATATGAAGTCATACAAAATATTTTTCCATATTAGCCATGTTGGGGGGAAAAAGCAAAAAAATTAAAGTGAAAAAATATGCTTCAATCTGTACACAGAGTTCATCAGTTCTCTCTCTCTCTGGAGGTGGATGGCATTTTCCATCATGGGTCCTTTGGAATTGTTTTGAATGGTCGTCTTGTAGCTAAATCTTTCACAGCTGGTCACCCTTACAGTATTGCTGTGACTATGTTCAATGTTCTCTTCTTTCTGCCCACTTCACTTGGTTGCACTTCTCACGTAATATTACAATGACCTATATTTGTGTTTTATCTCCCTATTAGACCTGAAGCTCTTTGAGGAAAAAAGCTGTAACACCCACAGTGCTCTGTACACAGCAGGCATTTAGTATAAATTGTTAAGTCAGAGAAATTGTGTTTACAGGTTTAAGTAGAGGAGGATCTTGAAAGACAGGTAGGATTCAGATAGGTGATGCACCAGGGTTCAAATCTCATCTTCAAGGCTTGCAAACCTCCAAGTGCTATACAAATGTGTTATTTTTCTCTTCCTGTAGTACTGCCTGTCAGGGCCCAGCACAGTGACGCATCCAACAGGCTGCAGACTATACTTTTATCAATTAGGTGTGTTTGAAATAAGGAGGCCTAAGGTCACTGTGGGTCTGCAGCATTGGGGTTCAGAGGACGACTGAAGTCACAAGGCAACTAACTAGAAGCTTGAACTAGACTTCCAATATCCACTTTGCAGGATGTTATGAGAAAGCTAAATTAGTATGCAAAAATATAAGCTATTAGATGAGATAGAAAACAGTCCCAAACCCCTTTCTTTGCAGAGATCCATGGGTGTGGTATACATTGCTTATTATTTTCTGACTTTTTCGTTGCATTGATCCGTTTTAGTGGGCTTTTCTATTTTTGGTCTTGTTTTCTTTAAAATTATAATAACATTTTTATTTATATATTTAAAATGTATTTATATATCTTATATATATAAAATTATGAAAATTATTTTGATTTGGGATGGCTCTGGGAGAAATTCTAGTGATATCAACAAAACCAAATATGAATAAAAATTTAATTCTACACACACATAAAACAAAATGCCTGTGACTTTGGGACAAAAAAAAGCAAAAGCATGAACTGCTATTTTTCAAAAGCAAAAAAAAGTTTCCGGTTATCCATTGTTTTGCATTATCCGTGACCGAGGCTCAGGCCCCGGGGACTCGAGGCAGGGGGCGCCCTCGGCCGGCTCGCGGGGCTTTAGGTGTAGGATTTCCCCGGGCTAATCCTCAGAGGTACTTTCCCTCCGCCAGGCGCGCGCCAACGACACCCCCAGCAGCCGACGTTCCCTAAGTCACGTCCCGGAGGCTACGGCGCTGGCGAGAGGGGTGCCCTCGCTGGTGCCTATCCCCCCGCCTCTGGATTGCGCCATCGCCCGAGCTCACGCACCGAGCCCGTGGCCCACATACGGCCATGGCCGAGCCTAACCTGGGAACTTTCGGTCCCCGGGGCTTCCTCCGTAGCGGTACAGTAACAGGCAATAATTTAACTACCCACTAACCCCTGAGGGGTCCTCGACAGGGACGCAATAACTAGGGCGACCCCCTCTGATTGACTGGCTTTTCCATCAATCAGTTCCCGGAAACCTCGTCTGGGACCGCCCCCCGAGTGGCCGACAGGCCAATAAAAGAAGAGCAAGCTCTAAAGGGGCGGTAATAGGACAGGGTAGGCTGTGGCGGTTCCCCAGGTTGTACGTGGAGGGGGTTGAGGAGTCTACGGCTGTTCCGACGATGTCCTGACAAGGCGCGGGAACAGCAGTGACAACGTGCAGAACCCTCCCCACGAAGCGAAGGAGGTGAAAGGAGCCGCTCAGCCCCCGAGGAAAGTCATAGCGGCGCTGTGTTGAGGCAGGTTGCTAGGGGGTTCGTAGCCCTCAGGGGTTGGGGGAGGGGAGCAAACGACGAGCGGTTTTTCATGCGCATGCGTTGAAGTTGCCGCTGCCCGGGACCATCTTGACGCGCATGACTGAAGCCGGAGGACCCGCGGCTGCCGGTGGAGTGGCGCTTGCGCAGTGAGGAGCCCGCTTAGGACAGCACTGGCCCCGGGTCTATAGTATGCTGGGCTGGCGCCCTGTGACGTAGTGAGGAGTCCTTTAAAGTGCTACTGAAAACCCTGCTCTGCAGAGCGGAACCCGATCGCACTTAATTGGAACCTGATTTCGTCGCTTTCTGTTCCCCCGGGGGCTGCTGCCGTCGGGGCCGTGGGATGAGGCGGCAGAAGAGGTCTGGAGGACCTGGTGATGCGTTCCTCCCTTCAGCTGGAGACCTTTGAAGAGATCCCGGGAGGAGGCCCCGCCGCTTGTGCATGACACAGGCAGGCTGCTGCGGCTGAGGCCTCCCGGTGGCCGCGGAGCCCCTCGAAGAGCCAGGATTCTGACTGGACGCTGGTCATTTCCTACCTGTCCTTCAGCTGAGTAAGGGAAAAGAAGTGGAGCACGCACGGACGACGCGGCTTCGCTTCTGACTTCAATCCTTGTCCTTCCCCCATTCCACGAGGAGAGCTTTCGGATCTCGCTGGAGGAAAGGGGTCAGAGGAATTGACTGCCAGGACTTTCATCGACTGCTCTGACCTTTCTCCTAAAGACATACCGGGCTTCATCGCACGGAAGACTGGAACCTGAGGGAAGCTACCTGCCCCGACCCAGCTCCCTCCCCAAAGGGGATGAAAACCCCCGGGAAGCATTGAAGCTAAGCATTCTCAAATGCTTTGAGAAGTGAGTGACGTATGGAGGATTGAAGGACCACCATCCCGCCCTCCCCAGCCCTCGACCTACCTGGCTTCCATCTCCTAGAGAAAAGGGGGATCCTTGCCACCCTGAAATCTGCCTTTGGAGAGCTGTAGGCAAACCATCTTTTTCAGAAGGAACATTCGCATACAGCTGGTGCAGGCCATGAATAGCAGCAGCACTTCCCACTCTCCAGTTCCCAGAGTCGGGTATCTAGGAGATCAATAGAGGAAAGGTGGGGGTGGGGTGGGAAGCAGCACTATGGCTGCTGCCAGCGGCTACACCGACTTACGTGAGAAACTCAAGTCCATGACATCCCGGGATAACTACAAACCCAACAGCCGGGAGGCTGCCGTGGTGGCCGCTGCTGCTGCGGCTGCAGCTGCTGAGCCCTACACCATCCCGGCCAAACGTAAATACCACGAAGACTCAGATTCAGAGCGCAGTGACTACGAGGAGCAGAAGGAAGAGGAGGCCCGAAAAGTGAAGAGTGGCATCAGGCAGATCCGCCTCTTTAGCCAGGATGAGTGTGCCAAAATCGAGGCCCGCATCGACGAGGTGGTGTCCCGAGCAGAGAAAGGGCTGTATAATGAGCACACAGTGGATCGGGCTCCCCTTCGCAACAAGTACTTTTTCGGAGAGGGCTATACCTATGGATCCCAGCTGCAGAAGCGAGGTCCAGGTCAGGAGCGGCTCTATCCACCTGGGGACGTGGATGAAATCCCGGAGTGGGTGCACCAGCTGGTGATACAGAAGCTGGTGGAGCACCGTGTCATCCCTGAAGGCTTTGTCAACAGCGCAGTAATCAATGACTACCAACCCGGAGGCTGCATTGTCTCACATGTGGATCCTATCCACATCTTTGAGAGACCCATAGTGTCTGTCTCTTTCTTCAGTGACTCCGCCCTCTGCTTCGGCTGCAAGTTTCAATTCAAGCCCATCAGGGTCTCTGAACCTGTGCTGTTCCTGCCTGTGAGGAGAGGGAGTGTGACTGTGCTCAGGTAATGAGGGAAGGGACAGAAGGGAGTAACCTCTGCTATCATCCTTTAACCCATAACTCTACTCCTAACAGGCCTCCATCAAGTTAAGATAATGAATATCCTTTCCTTTATGGTGGTTGACCTATCCTGTGGGTTAAACTGTATATTCAGTCTTGATCTTAAAGTGGGAAATTCTTATCAAGGAAGTTTGTTCCTCTTCCCCCAGAAATGGAGAAGGAGAACATTGCTAAAACGTAGATTTAATGCACTCGGCGCAAAACCCTAAGATTTTTCCAAGGATACTGTGCTGCTGGTTAAGACATAAATCCTTCTAAGATGCAGATTTTGTTTTCTGGACCCTCTCGTTATTTTTCATATGATCATAGATTGAGAGATGAAAGAGACCATCCATACCAGTCCCCTTATTTGATAGATGAAGCACCTTGAGGCCCAAAGAGGTTAAGTGACTTGCCCATGATCACATGGCATGCAGCTAATAACTATCTGGGGAGACATTTGAACCCAGATCCCCCTGATTCCAAGTATGGCGCTTGATCTCAGTCCTTAGTATGGAGGTATGTTAGAGTGTGCTTTCTAAATTATAAGTTTAGTAATTACATTCTTTTGACCTGGTGCTTTCCCCCACAGTTGTATTCGTAATATGTTTGCCTTCCCATTGGATTTTAATAAGAAAGCAAAATTTTACTTTGAACTGCTTCATTCTAGTTTAGAAATTTCAATAAGAAAAGTAATCCTCTATTTCTCAGTCATAAGATAGCTAATGTTTATGAGTATCTTGGAATCCTCTGTTTTCAAAAAGTACACCAGAAAGTAATGTTGATCTTAACTTTCTCTCCTGAAGGTCTAAAGGAGTTTTAGTAGAGAACATTTTAATCTTTAAAGTGCGGCAGTGGATGGAGAAATGTAGTCCCAGGGGTCCTTGTAATAGCAGCATTGGGGGAGCACCATTAATATCATTGGGTGTGGAAGCAGTTGTTTCTTCAGTGTTTGTGGATGAGGGAGGAATCCTGTCAGGTCCCGAGAGCCAAAACTATGCTGCAATAGTAGGGAATTCCAAGCAGAGTGGTTTAACTGAAGGTTGTTTGTGTCTGGGAAATAAACAGCAGCAGCAATACTTTGCTTCTTTGTTCATCTGAAACACCATAGAAGCCAGGATTTGGGATCCCACACAACCACTGAAAATCCAAATATTTGAGACTTGTTTTGTTTCTTAGAATCTGCTTGTTTATTCCAACATGGATTTATTACTTAAAGTACCTTTTAGGATAGAGATTTCCAACAAGGATTTCTCTAAAATTATTGGCCATAAACAATTCCACATAGCGTGAAATTGCTGTAGTCCATCTCCAGGGAGACTGAGAGCCAGAAAAACCGAAGGGGCCTTCAGAGCCAGGTCTGTACAGTTTTGCAGTGATAATAACACATTCTGGAGTAGCTGTAAATTATTAGTTTTGATGCTTCATTCAGGGCTTAAAACGCATCCTGCTGAAAGTAAAATTTGTTGTGTTATCCTTTTAGTTAATATGTTAAAAATATATCATAAAGCTCCCCAGACACAAAAACATAGTACTTCTAACTAGAGCTATCCTCCATACCTGGAAAATGCTCTTAAACCATCCTAGTTGACAGGAATACACTAACAGAATTATACCATCAAGAAAATTTCTTATTTCTTAGAGAACTTTAGCTCTAAAACCCCAAGTTTCTATTTACTTTTAGTCTTTCTAAAGTAAGATTTATTTGTTAGGTTAGGTAGTCTATGTGATGATGTCATTTAAGGAGAAACACTTGGAAGTCTTCATCACAGATTTGGAACTGGAAAGGACTTTGGAGAAGGGCTTCTTAACTTGTGGTCTGTGGATAGATTTCAGGGGGCTAATGGACTTGAATGAGGAAAACAGTCCCATCCTTATTTTCACTACCTCTAACTGAAATTTAACATTTCTTTCAATTATGAAATAATAATAACGATGATGATGATTCTGAGATGAGGTCCCTAGACTCTACTAGACTGCCAGAGGGGGCTTTGACATAAAAAAGATTAAGAACCCCTGCTTTAGAGATACTAGATAACCCTTATTTTATGGATGAGGATGCTAAGGCCCAGAGAAGTTAAGTGACTTGCCCAGTATCACACAGTAGATTATTAAGTGTAGAGTCAGGATTCAAACCCAGACTTTCTGCCTTCAAATTTAGTGCTCTGATCCACTGTACCCTGATGCATACTGGAAGCAAAGTCAGTTCTCAGCCTCCCTCTTTCCCCTCTCCCCACCGATATCACCAAGTTAAAAAATCCAGTAACCATGGAGATTTTTTTTTTCTTGGCCTAGGCAATGGGATGAAGTGACATGCCTAGGGTTAAATACCTAGTGAGTGTCAAGTGTCTGGGGCCACATTTGAACTCAGGTCCTCCTGAATCCAGGGTTGGTGCTCTTTTCACTGCACCACCTAACTGCCCCGAGACTATTTTTCAGAGCTCCTGTCTGAATTTCCAAATTGGTTTCAATTGCTGCTTCAGAGCTTTATCAGCTCTGTTCTACTCCATCTACAGGCAGGTAGACTGCTTCCCTAAATCTCTGGCCAATTAGCATCTTAGTTTTTCTGAGAATTCTTTTCAACTTATGTAAACTTATGGAGAAATCCTTATTTTGTTGCACTTACCAAGAATAAGCCCCAAACATGCTACCATCAGCTGATAGGATTTAGAGCTTAGGAAGAAAAGAGTGTGATGAGTAGAGGACTGTCTTTGAAACCTGGAAGATCTGGGTTCTAGTCCCACCACCACTGACACAAACTGGCTCTGTAATCCTAGGCAAGTCACTTAATGTCTACTCTAAGCAACTCTTTAAGATTTTAAGTTATAGAACCTTGGTAAAGGTAGTTTCCTCATTTGGGAAATATTCCCTATACCAATGAAACCAAGTCTAATTCAACATGTCCATTTGAGAAGAGGTATAATGGAGGTGGGTAGGAAGGCAGATTCTAGACTCAGTGTTTGAGTTGCAAGGGACCTTAGATTATCTGATCAACCTATTCATTACGCTGAGGAGAAGCCTGGGACCCAGAGTGAAAGTGACTTGCCCAGGTGACTTTCAGCTTGCCAGCAAAGCCTTTGGCTTTAGTCCAATACTCTTTCCACTGCATCATGATTTCATCTAGTAATAGCTGAAACACTGCTCACTTCATCAGCATTTCTCTCATTTTGAGAATTATAGTAGGGGTTCAGTTTTTTTTAATAGTTGTCAGTATGGAAAACAGCTTCTGAAAATCATATAAATACGTTTGAAGTGGTGATGGAAACCCATCCTAAACAAAAGTTTTGTCCTGCCTATTTCTAAATTCAGTTGGAAACTGCTTCCTGAATGGTAGAACTTTTCACTCATTCACTTCCTTCAGTGGTAGACTCTGCCCTCCCTTGTTCTTTTCTGCCTAGTTTGCCATTTGGGCAGAGGAACAAGTAGGCCACGCACCTCTAATTCTCCAAGACATTTTTTACCTTCTTCCTACCTACTTAGCACATTGCTGTTTCTTGCCATGAGATGAATATATCATTCTAAAATATAGAAATTACATTTTTAATTGAAATAATTTCCTAGAGGCTGTTACCATTAATCATCAGTTTTGGAATAGAAGTAAATAATATCTACTTTTTGAAAGCAGAATTCAGCTTTTATCTTAAAATAGTTCAGAAAGTGGAGCAGATAGCCCTTAAATCACTTTACCTGTGCAGTGGAAGAAATATTCCAACAAAGAATAGCAAAGAATATTCAAACCCTAGTGAAAAACAGAATGATAGTGATGCTTCAGTTCATAAGGAAGCAAACTCACAGATGGTCTTGGGCCAGAGATCTGTGCTGGCTTGTCTTGATGTTTCTTGTCCTAGGAAGGAAATGGAAGACAAAGGAAAAGAAGGCAGATGTACTGCTGCTATCTTCAGGAGAACCTCTGTGCATTCTTTAAGTACATGGAAAAATTTTAGGGCTGGGCATTGTGCAGCTGTGGTAAAGGCCTAGCTCTCGTTCTTTAAAAAGCCTAATTTTGTTTTCAGAACTTTTCCAATTTAGAACATGACTGAAAAGAGCAGAATGTATTGGCCTGGCACAAAGAAGGCACTTAATAAATGTTTATTGATCTATTATTGGTTGATTGTCCCGTTTGATTAAGATTTTATATATGCTAAAGCAGTCTGTCAATCAAGCGTTTAAGTGTGTGCTATGCTATGGGCACTCTGCTAGACACTGGGGATACAAATACAAAGAATGAAACAATCCCTATGCTTCAGGAAGGGGATGGGGGGAGGGAAGGGAAGAGGCATGTGTTCCAATCATAGGAGGACAGACAACAGAGACGGGATCATGAGGAACAGAAACAAGGCCAGTTTGCCTAGTTTCAGAGTGAAGGAGGGGGAGTGATGTCCATTGAGTCTGGAAAAATTGGTTTGGAGAATATTGTGTAGAGCTTTAAAAGCTAAACCAACTTATTTTAATCTAGAGGCAGTAGGGAGCCACTGAAAGTTGAGTAGTAAGTGGATTTACATGTTAGATCTGCTCTAGATATCTTTACACCGTCCCTCTAACTGTAGCTGTACTGAAAGCTCCAAAAAGTTCTTAAACAAGCCTTATAGCTGCTAGGCATAGGGGTTAGTGGAAGGGGAGGGAGCGTGTTAGGGGAGGGAATACAAAACCAAAGGTGAATGATACTGTGGTTATGTAATTAAACAGTTTGAGAAAAGGTTGTGCACTGGGTCCAGAATTTAGTGTATTATGTAGTCAGAAGCAGGGTTAGGATTAGTTTGACAACTCCTGTAGTTTGAGGCATCCTACCCCTTTCCTCAACCTTCTAAACTTTTTGGAGTCAAACAAGCCTTACCTCCTTTCCTTGGATTTGAGCTGTGTGTATTTTTATGGTGTTAGAGTAATATATAAATAACTTCGACCTGAGATCACTACCCTGCTTTGGTGAAAAGTGGCTCACTTTCCAAAAAGAACCAGCTTTGGTTTGCCTTCTAGATAGATGGGGTGGGGAAAGCAAATGCATTTCACCCCACCCCACCCCACCCCCGTTGAGAGAGGGTTCATACTCTGATTGCTGTGTGTTTCCAAGAGTTCTTAGGCTATCTCCCAGTAAACTGCAGAAAGAATCCTACTGGGTCAGGAGACCTCCATTTGAATCCTGGCCCAGACAAGTTACTAGCTCTGTGACAGTGAGCATGCAGGTCACTTAACTTCCTTAAGCCTTAGTTTCCTCATTTGTAAAAGGTGGAGAAATGTGTTCACTGCCTACCTTTTATGTAAAAAAAAGCTTGTAAACCTTAGTGTTACATAAATGTGAACAGTTGTTTCTACCACCCACTAGCCCTAAGACAGAACTGAGGACTCTAGGTAGATAGCCAAAACCTATTTTCATGATGTCTCTCTGACCCCATTTGGGCAAACTTGCCAAATGGTGTTTAAGGAGGAAGTTAGCATCTTCACAAACCTGTCTTGACATGCATTTTCCAAATCTTTCTCCCTAGACAAGAGACTTAGGATATGGTACAAGGAAACATTGGAAGTGATCACTACTTTCCCATTTGATCAACATGATAATTATGTAGGCTGACAAATAAGTAAAACTTCCTTTCCTATGAAGATAAAATAACAGGCCCTGACTCTTTTCCACAGGCCAACAGTGGCATTGACCTGAGTGTATTCAGTTTCAAACTGGCATGTAGCTTCTCTTAAACAGGTTCTCTTGCAATAAATAGGCTCCTTAGTGGTAAATAACCCTAATGTACTCTCAGCTCAGCACTTTCTGATGGAAAGTTCTGGTTGAAGAATAGCTTAACAAAAGTTGTTTCTTCTATGATCCTCCCTTCTTTGTATATTGAAACAACTTGTGTTTGTTAATGATTTAGGATCATATTAAAAACAATTTTTTAAAAGAATAGCATAGATCCTTTTTTACAGCCAAGATATTCTTGGGGATTGCCAAAGATTTAGATGATCATAATGGTTTTGCTGATAGGAAAGCCAAAGGTATAATGAAAGCCTAAAAATGAGTGTTAATGCATTTTAGTGTCAGATGCTTCTGCCATATGCCAGAACGAAGGCAACCACAAGAGGGAGCAGGAGCAGCACCTAAAAGGATTAAGATTAAGCTGAGCTAAAGGGTACCAGAGGTAGCTAAGCTACTATAACCTATGATACTGCACACTTACATATTGTGAAAACAATTTGAACCAGCTAAAAGTATCCTTCCCAGGTCTTTTGACTCATTTTGGCTCCATTTGGTAGGAGGATGACATGTGGTAGTTTAATTCTTGGGGGTTTTTTTCCTAGTTTTGTTTTTGTTTTTTAAGAAAAGAGAGAAGATAAATTGTTAAATGTCTGGATTTTCTCCAGAATTGCATTTCAGCAAGCTTTCCCATGTTAGCAGATTTGAAGGTAGTATATTTTCAGCTCTGTTACTGGCCAAGTAAAAAAGGTTAATAACACTTTCATACATATTTATCTGAATAGGTATTTGTCTGTAGCTGGTATGAGAATTAGTATCCTGCACTCTTAAATGAGTCGTTTGGAGATTGGCCTTGTCTACCTTTCATGGTTTACTTTTTGCTCTGGTATATAGAATGACAAAGAAGAAAGTGTGGTAAGATTTGCAACCATTTTGCCTGCCTGAGCTAGTCCAGAGGATATGACTGGGACCTTCTTTGATGCAAGAGATAGGAGCCCCAAGTTATTTGATCCATAGGAGCCTGGGATATTTCCAGAGTTAAATCAAGAATTCTGGTTTGCTCTACTGTCTTCATTGGCCTCTGGTTTAGTTCAAGACCACCCTGAGAAAATCTTTATTGTGGATGTGATCTCCTGAGGCCAGACAAGAACTAACCTGGTAACCTTGAAGGGACGCAGGGCTTGGAATCAGGACAGACTTTCTGAGACCTAAGCCAAAAGTAGCCTGGCTCTTAGACAGAGCTTGGGGTGAATAGCTGTTTGCCTCCTTACACCGGGGTATCAGATGCCTTCTGCCTCTTTCCCGTTCTCCTCCTCCACCCCCATCCAAATAGTACCAGCCATTTTATAATATCTTGCCAAGTGTGTCCAGGTTGAGTTTAGAGTGATAGAGGCCAAGCAAGCCTGATGCTAATCCTTCTTTCTAAAAGGACTTTCAGAAAAGCCTGAACATAAAACAAAGAGACTGAGTATAGAATGATCCTTTACCACATGGAGCTCTTGTAGTTGAGTGAAATATTTGAGAGATCTTTTCTCACCTACTATTCAATTCTGACCTGAGGCTACAGTTAGTTTTATTTTTTATAAACTAAAACTTTACTGTACTGATCTGAATGATTTTCTAGGATTTTGTTAGCTTGACTATGCTTATATTGATAAGTTAAAATTACTTTGGGCATGGCAACTGAGAGAGGGTGCTGAGGAACAAAGTTAGCTTTGAAATTTCCTAGCCATCAAGTAGTCCTCTACATGTGATTGCTGGCCTGTAAGCAATTTTGAATTATGTACCATGTTGAAATAAATACAAAATAATGGTAATAATTCCTAAAATATACCAAACAGCTGATTTGGAGGCTTTGAATTCCTCAAGTGGTAGCTTTAGAGACAAAAGCAGTTGAATTTCTTTTGGGTACCTTCTGTGCTCTGGTGACGCATCATCAGTTTGTCCACTTCAGCATCTGCATATAGCCAAAAAGTTGTGAGAGAGAGAGAGAGAGAGAGAGAGAGAGAGAGAGAGAGAGAGTAAGAGGTCTGAATATCTTTCTCTCTTTTTCTGTCTCATATAGTAGCCTTGCTTAAGTTAATCTGGTTATTCCAGTCAGTCTCTGCAACTCTGATTCCTTGAAAAATGAAAAAGATTGACAAATGTTGAGTCTATTCAGAAAAAAAAACTTCACTTAAATTGAGGGCCTTCTAGGTCTTCATAGTTTTTTTAAATGGTCAGAGGGATTTTGAAAATAGTGTGGTATCATGTAAATTGCTCAGCTTTTCCTTCTCATCTTTCCATTAAAAGTGTTATTTACTTTCCATATGCCCATGTTTTCTTAAAGTAGATTCTACATTTAATCAGACTAGTTTTAGATAAAATGTAGAGTCTCCACCGAGAAGAAACAGCTTTTAAGTAGTAGACATGCCTGCCATATCTAACTATGGAAGAAGTTCCCTTATTTTGAATCACAAATAGGTGAGCCTTTGGAGAGAAAGTAGTATCTTTAAGTTCATATTGTTAGCTTCCTGACCATCAGAATGAGCTTTAATAACCCAAAGGAAATGGGGAGAAGAATCCTGATCAAAGGAAATGATAATCATCTATCTCCAGTCATTGTCTTAACCTCAGCCTGCTATGTTTTCTTTCAGTGGATATGCTGCTGATGAAATCACCCACTGCATACGACCGCAAGATATCAAGGAGCGTCGAGCTGTCATCATCCTTAGGAAGTAAGTGCCAAAGCTCAATTGTTTTTCCACTAAGTTGGTTGTTTTATATATACATCTTTACATCTTTCTGGATCCTGTTTATAAATAACAACTGAGGTATATTTTAAGTCTGGGGGATATTTATGCACCAAGGGGTGGATGTTTGGCAGAAAGGGCAGCCTTAGTTTCATTTTACCCCTTCTTGTTTTTAATTCTGTAGGTATAAAGATTTTTCATCTGGAAGCTAAGTACTTCAATGAATAGATGGAAGTGCTGTGAAAAATTATGTGCTATCAGTATTTAAAAATACACTAAGACCAAAAGATTTGAGAAAATAAATTCATTTTCCCATACCTAGAGAATACCCGAAATTCTTATTATCACAACTTGTAATATACTTTTTTCTTGTTTAAAAAATTTAATTTAGTATACTTTAAAAGTATTTTTAGACACTGCTTTCACAACCTTCTTTTAGTTGTCAAGGTTTTTATATATGGTAGGGAAAACAGAGAGTAGCAGAAACTAATCAGATGGCTGAGAATCTAATTCTGTCCCACGTTGTCACCATTTCCCATATAGGGAATTGATGACCAACTTGTGGTAAATTTAGGCTGTGGGGGAAAGAATCAGGAAGTGTTGACTTGCTACCTGTGGCCATGTAAGTTCTCCTAATTTTCTTTCATCAGATAAATAGACTTAGAATCATGGTACTGTAAAGCAGAAAAAAGAGGCCTTAAAAGAGCATCAAGTCCAGTCCCTTCATTTTAGAGATGAGGGAAACAGTCTCAGAGATGAAAGATAGTACTTGCCCAAGGTCACATAGCTTGTTTAGAGGCAAAACCAGCACTAGAGCAAAAGTCTCCTTACTCTCAATTTGGTGTTATTCAGAAACCATAATTAGAATGTTCCTTTGTAACTTAGCCTATTTCTTTTCTCCTTCCCAGGGCCCCTGGGCTTCAATTCAGTTTGTCATGATCAGCAAACATTTATTAAATGCCCATTATATGGTGGGTCCTGGGAATATAATGATAAATGACAAGCCTGGCTTTTAAGGAATTTATATTCAGCTGCAGTGGTTCAGACTTTTTTACTCATTACTGTGCTCTTTGCCATGAGGAATTGTCACGCACTGAACATTTAAGTTGGCAGTGCTGTGGTAGAATAGTTGGGTGACTTGAATATGCACAGTTGTCTTTAATAAGAGTGGCCTTTTTTTGTTGATTTTGCTACAAGTTCAAGGTCTGACATTTTTTGAGATTATTGTGCATTTTGTTCTTGCAAATGCTATACTTACCACATTAATATGCTGGGTAAGTAAAGAGTGGCCTTTTTTGTTGATTTTGCTACAAGTTCAAGGTCTGACATTTTTTGAGATTATTGTGCATTTTGTTCTTGCAAATGCTGTACTTACCACATTAATATGCTGGGTAAGTAAAATGTAAGTTAAATAATTTTTTTGAAAATCTCTTACCTACAGTAACATCCACAATTTCATGGCATACCTAACAACACTTGAGGCACACACCCTTTTAGAACCACTGTTCCACTGGAAAACATGCATATATGCAGATTAAAGATAATCGAAGGTAGAGTGTTATGGGAACATTAGAAAGATTAAGTCAAAGTATCCTAGAACTTTAAAGAGGGTAAGAAGACTTTCCTAACTGCAGGAAATACTTTTATCCTCAGCATGTAGCACTGGTCCTGGCACGTAGTAGGCACTTGATAAATGCTTGTTGATTGATTGATCTGCCTTTTTACCTTCCCTGTTCTACCTGCTGCTTTGCCTTTGTACTTCATTAAAGAAAAGGTTGATCACATAGAGTTCATCTGTTATGTTAACAGAAGGAGCTGCCTGATTGTGAGGCTTTTTTGGGGGCGGGGGGAGAAGTGGTGTCTCACTTGTACCTTTCAAAGTCTTGGGGGTATAATCTTCATTTCTGAGAGGTATTAAGAGATTTCCTCCACTAAAATCTTTCTCCTTTGCCATCTAATGGTATAGAAGTGTTCCTGGGGTTCTAGACCCTTACTTATCAGGAAACCTTGGCAAGATGTACCAAAGGGAGAGCATAGACCTGGTGATGGATTATGGATCTGACTACCAGAGATCACCCTACCTAAGTTTAGAGAGGCTCTTAACTTGAAAGATTGGTCATAAGATAGAGAATCTTTTTGTCCATAGCAATTCACAAAAACTATCTACTGAGGTGTTTCTGGGTTACTGTCTGCATTGATAGAAGTAACTGACTGTATGATAAAATGAAAATGCAGATCCATATTCATAATGGCAGACTTTGTTTTTAGTACATTAAGATTTATAAAACATGTCACATCACATTTGTATTAAAATACTAGAAGTTATTTAAATCACCTAAAGTCAAACCCTCTAACTCAGAAGAAACAGGCTATGGCTAGGGAGGTCAGTTGTTCAGACCCTTGTAGAGAATATGTAAACTCAAGAGGACCTGGCAGCACAGAACTGAAGTTCACTGCCAATGGAGGCAGCCAGGTGGCAAAGGAGAAACCTGGGCATCTGGCAAGGTATCAACCTCTGACACAACAGCCAAAGAAGCGGCAGGCCAGGGACAGCAGCATCTCAGTGAGAGCCAAGGGCTACTCCCATTAACAGGAGATTGAAAGGGTAGGGCAACATCATTCCATGTGTTCCCAGTCATGGGAAAATTTCTGACTTCAGGTTGATGTGCTTGTCCTAGAACCAGTAGTTAATTATCTTCTTCTTTGCTGTCCTCAGATAAGAATGTGGTTTTAGTGGTAAGAGCATTGTCCACAAAACTAGGAGACCAGGACACTAAGCCTGATCTTCCAGTGCCTCAGACTAACTCTTCCTTTCTGTTCAATTATTTGTATACATCAGTGGGCAGAAGTTACAGGGAAGCAGATTTCAGCACAGAATAAAGAACTTTCTTTCTATTACTTTTTATTTTTTTTCTTTGTTTTAATATCACCATTCCTGAATGTGTTCCTTTACTGTGCCTTGTAACAAAAGGGTTTTTTTGGGGGGCAGGGGTGCGAACTTGTGTACTTTAAGGGGAGGGGCAAGGTAGGAAGCAGTTCAGTAAAACCAGTCTACATTATCAGCACTATCTGACAGGGTATAATATTCTACATCTAGTATCCCTCACTTCTTCAGAAAAGAGAGGAAGGAAAGGGCTTGACTCAGGGTCACACTTAATGATTCAGTTTAACTTTTGTTCTTTCATTTAGATTGTCATATTTGTTATTCTCCTGGTTCTGTTTGCTTTACTCTTCATCAGTTCATGTGTTTCCTTGGTTCTCTGACTTGAAAGAAAAACTTTCTAATGAATAATGCTGCCCATCAGTTATTTTTGTTTGTTTGTTTGTTTTTTGTTTTGGCTAGGCAGTGGGGTTAAGTGACTTGCCCGGGGTCACACAGCTAGTAAGTGTTATGTGTCTGAGGCTGGATTTGAACTCAGGTCCTCCTGAATCCAGGGCCAATGCTGTATCCACTTCACCACCTTGCTGCTTCTGCCCATCAATTATATAGGCTATATCAAGAGATAACAATTTCCTCCTGTAAAAGAAGATATTTGAGTGAAAACAATATTTAATTATTCAAGTAACTTTTTTTTGTTTTCTTTTTATTTTTTTTTTTGGCAATTGGGGTTAAGTGACTTGCCCAGGGTCACACAGCTAGTAAGTCTCAGGTGTTTGATCTGAGGCTGGATTTGAGCTCAGGTCCTCCTGACTTCAGGGCTGGTGCTCTATCCACTACTCCACCTAGCTACCCCTCAAGAAACTTTTTTTAAAGCACCTACTGTGTGCAGAGCACAGTGTGCTGGGAGAAATACAAAGTTTAGCTGAGACATAGTCCCTGCCCTCAGAGATTTAGGAACTTAGTCTAGTACCTCTGGATAACCATCTGTTAGGCCTTCTCTGTGCAGCATCCCTACTTTGGTTAAGCAGCTGAATGAACCACATAGATAGCCTCTAGAACAGTGATGTCAACTCAAATAGAAATGGGAGCCACTAATCCATACATAAAAACCCCTGTGGCCCTCATATTGACTTAGTTTTAAAATGTAGTATCATCCATGTTTTATTATATTTTTATTTTGTTAAATATTTCCAACTACATTTTAATCTGATTTGGGCTGCACTTGGGAGTGTTGTGGGCCGCGTCTAGTCCATGTATTTGACACCTCTGCTCTAGGAACCTTTCTCTACCTGTTCCAGGTGTTATAAGATTAAGATGATTATATGGAAGTGTTTTTAGATATATAGAGAGTAAATTGAAGATTATTGCAGGAACCAGAAGAATAGAGTAACTGGAAGAGGTCCAGGATGGCCGTATCAACTGGTGCCTTCACAAATTCTGGTTGACCTAATCTAGGTTTCTTAGGCTACGCCAATTATTTTTATGAGCAAGAAAATATGGTTAGAACATTAAGATGTTGGCATAGAATACATCTTCTTAGTACATTGAGCCATCAGGAGGGAATCTGAAGACCCCTTAGCATTCTGTCTTTGGAAAAGCCAAGGCTGTGATGGTGTTTGCATAATCTACCATATTGTGAGACTGTGAAATGGGACCCAACCAGGTCACTTGAAATAACAGTACCAACAAATGTTTGTTGGTCTTTTACCTAATCCATGTCATGTCATCACTTTGAAAACATGTGTTTCTTCTACATGAGGTCTTAGTGTTGCTTATGTATTGGTGAAGCTAGAACTTCTTATGTATCCCATCACACACAGTAATGTCTTAGGTTAAGGCAATAATAGCTTAAGTTTTTTACTCTGGTGCATAATTTTTAAGTAGTTTTTTCCTTTGAGTTGTTTACTTACATACTCCTGTGGTGTCCCAGTCTTCTGAAGACCCGTGCAGTAAGCAAAAGGTGTTTTTTGTTAGTTTGTTTTTTTATGGGAGATACTCATTGTATCTGTTGACCATATTAAATGTATCTGGGGGCTGAAGACAGCATGTTCCTGTACACAGAATTGCTTTCATCCCTTCCCACTTGATTTTCCCAATCCTCTAC